GTTTACCTACAACAAATAATAGACTGCAGGTCTTTTTACATTGAGCGTTTTATCTTGGCGATACAGATTCGCCGTTATTTTCCTAAAATACAATCTAAATCTCTTAAAGACTTGCAATATATTAGAATGAATATTACGTAAAAAGGTCGCCCTTACGGAGCGAGAAAGGACTCTTCCTGTGTTGAGAAAGGACTTTAAATATGTTAAACAATAAGATACATCACACGTTGTGCAACACGACAATGCAGGTTTCCTGACTCAGGTTGTTGAGTGACACATTTTGAATGACAATTATTCCCAACAGACTTTATGAGTCAACCCCCTGTCAGTGTGATAGATTGCACTAACAAACCAGCCAACCAGTAATTAATGACTTAATTATGCTAATTAGGTGTTGGAGAAGAAAGCTAGGTTAGAAGTCAATGTGATTGACTCCTACAACAATCTAATCTTAGTGTAATTAATGACATACCTGGTTTAAAACTATGGTAATGAAAAATTACGGGTGAAAGGTCAAAGGTGAATTGATAGAGGTGAAAGGTCAAAGGTGAATTGATAGAGGTGAAAGGTCAAAGGTGAATTGATAGAGGTGAAAGGTCAAAAGTGAGCTTGTAGAGGTAAAAAAATAGCATGTATTTAAAACTAACAACCGTCAATATAAAGTAACGTTGTTTAGTACAATGTGGGCATTGTGACCTTCTCATATTGCTGTACTATACACTGTGTAAACATGTGTTGTGATAGTCAGTATGTGGACAGCTTTACAATCGAATAAACAAATGAAAATTGCATTATGTCTGGTATACATTAAAATTATCGTGTAAAAACATTTCCGTTTTTATTGCATTCTTTAGCAACTGTATCAGACCAAAGGTGATGATAATAGTAATAACACGTTTAGAAATGATAAAAGTTAATTTAGAATTACAACCATAAGTTATTATTTTAAAAGTCCTTGGGTACAAATCAAGGTTTTGCTGTACACTTACTTTGATCATGAATAAATGTTACAATACTTTAGAGGGTTAGGAGACCTGCTATGTAACGTACTTGTCGCTCTCCACCATCGTTTTCCGAAGATAAAAGAATAAGACAGATTGCGTCCATGATAATCCATGACATATGTGATATAAAAATAAAAATAGCTGTTTTTCAATCTAGTTTGACAACGTTTCTTGTAATAGTAGAGATAGTAATTATTCTTCAGATCATTATTACCGTTCCCACACACCATATAGACCTACCATAATCCGAACTAAGTCTCGAAAAATACATGGTTATATCTTGCACACGTCATTCTAGAGTCTTTTCCAGATAATGCTCTCAAATCATTATTGCTTCATAGTGATTAGTGTTCGGGTTAACGACCTCAGATTTCGTTGTTACATAGACAGCCGATGTTTATTTGCAATCTTTTTAAAATATAAAATGGTTATTACACGATATGAAATTTTCAAGTATAGATATATGTGTGTTCAAAAAAAATCACCTACAAGATATTCTAATTATATCCCATAATTTTCACTAGTAGTGCTATAATGACTATCATTGATATTGAAAAATAAAAAAAAAAACCTTGCGTAACCTATTGTTTGACACTCTGATAGTTTTTTTAATAGATATAATCATCTACGTTATTATTACAGTCACCATCGTTATTTTCAGAATATAAACGATTTGGGACCAAACATTTTTTAAAAAACTCAGGAACCGGGTATTGGACAGTATTATGCCTTTGCATGACTTTTTTTCTCCACGTTTTAATTCCAATTTACACACAGTTCAAGAGAAATGGACGCTAATGATGAAACAGATAAGTGGACAAGAGATTTATGGACTGATAATTAAGACACAGTGAAAAGCCCCATGCACGCGATTCAGCTTGCCTTATCAAAAAACAGCTATGGAGGAGGTTGGTGTCTTCCAATACGTTGACTGCCTTTACACATGGCATTAAAATTATTGGACGCAGTACATGAGATTAAGCCGATTAATAAGGCATTATGGTGGCCTCAGGTAACGCTTTGGAACGGATTAATTGACAAAACATGCTAGTTATGAACTTAATCAGTGGTATCGTTGATCATGTGAAGAGAGAGTCTTGAAACCTTGTGTCTGGATTACTGACTGCAACGCGGTCAACTTGTATTCAGTGCGGTTGCTGTTATTAATGTACATTGTATAAATCAAAACAACTTATGCCATAATTATGACATGATGTATGACCTGGCAAATTTTCAATGAGTATTCCCATAGCAATAATCTGTAAAATATTTTCTATGTAAATTTTTTTTCCAATTGTGTATACGTACCAATAGATGGCTTTCTAATGCTGCAGGAATGGTAACAATTATTGTGTGTACTACACAATGCACAGCGCCTAACTGCCTTGTTTATGAGCTAATGTAATCACGATAAATGTGATTTATAGATTCCCGCATGCATCATTTTATGATTAAGTGCTTAATGTTGTATGCAAGGTAGAGAATGATATATATTGTTCACGAAAGATTGAATTATATGGCGCATATATTATAAGATTTTGTAACCAACGCCAACGCCAACGTCAACACCAACACCAAATACAGATGAGAAAGAATGAGGAGTATTGTAACATAGAGTCCGCCCTCCATTAGATCCTCACAGGTTAGGGTTAGCGTGACGTAATTGGGTCAAAATCTAGGGTGGGGCTTACCTGCGAAAACCAATGAAAACCGGGCTCTCTATGGTTGGTGACACTGGGCCAGTAACATAATCTACATTTGTTTAGTTACTGACAACTTTTTTTCTGCTCTGGACCAACCACAGATACTAAGAACCTAGCCCCAGTTTCACTAAGAAAAGTAAGTCAGTTCCCTGGCTTAGTTGAGTACGATTTCTACGAGAGTGCTGTTACACTGCTCCTGATTGGGGTAAGACGTACCCATGTGACCATGTAACCATGGTAATTAAGTTCTTAGCCAGGGAACCCGACTTAAGTTTTTTTGTGAAACCGGGGCCTGGCAATTCAGTGGGGTACGTAGTTGGCTGCAAGTGTTTTTTTAGCACAGCCTGATTGAAACCACTTCTCCAAAATACCATCCAACAGTGGCTCAAGGTGTGGTTCGAGATAAAAAAAAAAAGAAAAAATGAAACCTCCTTGTAAAGAAAAAAACTTCATGTGAGATACCATTGCATGTTATATAAGAAAAATGGAGGAATTACATCACGGGGTCACGCCGGAGCATCAGTATGTAAAAATATATCTGTAATATTGTCTGAACAACTTGAACTCAGTATCACCTAGGATGATAGCATGTTATACGTGAGTTATTGATGGTATTCCACAGAAAACTATTAATAGAAAAGTCAGAAACGATCCCTGAAACGCGAATATGATTATATAAGCTTGTAGGTTATCTTAGCTTGAAGTTATTTTGGGCTATTTGCAGACGACAAATTAAAAGTGATAGCTATCTCTTTAAATTGCCGGGGTCTATTTCTGTAAAATAACGCACTTTTTACCGGCTTATATCTAAAAACATACCTACAAGTAGGTTTAGGCAAAGGCCAATTTGGGTGTATAATTTCAGTATGAATCATGTAGCAAATGAAAAGGCGGCGTCATGGGAAATAATGAATCATATCATTATGTGACACAATATGAGCCTTTTGTGAAAATGCCATGAATGTTTGATACAACACAAATGAAGGGTTGTCGGGTTGTGTAACATAATAATACAGCATGCTGCATGCTGTAACATTTACAGAGAATTTAATAATTTAGTTTACAGTTTATGTATCATTTTCATTTGTATTTAATGTACTTCCACATTATCAGACAACGCATGAACACGAACAAATTCAACAGTATGAAAAAGTATGTAAATATTTTTTTAATTCAGTTACAAACCATGTATATCATGATACCACGTTTTACTTTAACGATTTATCGGAGAATCCAATCCCATACTAAAGAGAGACGAAGTTTCACATTCACCTACCTCCCTCCCAACCTACCTACCTGCCTGCCAAATTACCTATTTGCCTACCTACCTGCCTACCTACCTGTCTACCTGCCTGCCTACCTACCTGTCTACCTACCTGTCTACCTACCTGCCTACCTACCTGTCTACCTACCTGTCTACCTACCTGCCTACCTACCTACCTACTTACAGGTACCTGCCTACCTTCCTGCCTGCCTGCCTACCTACCTACCTACCTCTCTACCTACCTACCTGCCTACCTACCTACCTACCTACTTACCCATCTACCAACCCATCAACCTATTCATTTATCTGACTTTAAGAGACTAAGTAATATACACAGAGAGAGATAATAATAGCGGAGATATTTGACCAAACCTCCACAGAAAGTACCATTTGCAGCTCTGGGAACCCGATCCCAGCCTCGATCACCTGCCAGAGATACCATTCACCACATGTAATTGCTCTAATGTATTGACCACCTAACCCTAAACTGGAAAGTAATTGTCGTAATTGCTGAAATAACAAAAAAACCCACGAGCAGCGTAACTTACATACACAAGCGGTACTTTTATCTGTACCTGTGAGTGGAGCTTTAGCCTATAGATTTTACCTCTAACATCAAGTGGCCTGTTTGTTGTATGGGTTGGAAATAATTCATGTTAGAAGGAGTTGGTGTTTTAAACAGCTATTAATTGTTTAGTATCTGTATATTCATATGGCTGGATGCAGCGTGCATAGCATAGATTGTGACTCTCTGTGGTAAATAAGTGCTTTTAAACAGCTATCATGTCTATAGGACCAGCGTTTTGATGATGATGATATGCATTGATTATCGTTTATAATTTACGAGATTTTAAAGCGTCTGACAGATTTGAAATGTCAGTGTGTGTATGGTGTATATGTCCATATGAGCATGTACTAGTGTGTGTTTGTGCGTGTGCGTGTGTGTGAAACTATAAACATATGTACGTGACTCTATTCTGTCGTGAATGAACATAATGTGAATAAGATATTTTGTGTCCATTGTTTCAGAAGAGGTCAGCACGGGAAGCGCTGTATAGGACAACTGTCCTAGTCCTAACGGAATTACGGAGAACATATATTGAGCAGGTTGACCTGAAACAGCCATCACCAGGAAAAGAATAGACCAAAGCCAGTAGCACTGCTTTAATTACATTTCAGTCGAAAATCAATTTGAAGATAAAATCGATACATACAGGTTGAAATTTTACAAAATTCATTCAGTTGGTGGAATTTTTATGGAGGAATTTTAAGCGCACGCGCGCGCGGGAGATATCCCGCTGATCGTCTGCTGTATGTTGTGTTGAACGTCTGCTCCGAGCAATAATGGACAGCGAGGATTGCAGATAAGTAGTGTCATGAGATTTCTGAGTGCTGGAAGTATAGGGCTGGTGCTGTGCCGCGTATACGTTAGATGGAAGGCAGCTAATCGATAAGTTGCCCGCACATAGGCGTAAGGCAGTAGAAACGACCAACAGCGATATATAGACTCCATAGTCACCGCCATATTTTTCACGGCAGCATCCATACGATAGAAATAGATCGTTATTTACTTGTTGAAAATGAGAGAAAATTAGGAGTGGAATTGCGTCGAGTGAGAGCGGGGAATCGTACCTAAAATGGATGTCACACAACATTTATATGGATTAATACCACTGTTATGGTTCTAGAAGGAATTCAGTGGAATTTCAGAGGAAAAATTGTACCTTCAAGGTGTAATCTAAGCTGAACGCCATTTTAGTGCTTTTGCATCGGCAAGTAGGGAGTGAAAACGTTCCAAATGGCTGGGTCAGATTTCTACGCCGGGATTTCAGACTCGGAAAACAGAGTCATTCTAAACGTCGGAGGGATACGACATGAGACCTACAAAGCGACCTTAAAGAAAATCCCAGCCACGAGACTGTCGCGTCTCACGGAGGCCTTGGCAAATTACGACCCCGTACTTAATGAGTACTTCTTCGATCGTCACCCGGGGGTCTTCGCGCAAATCCTGAACTACTACAGAACCGGGAAACTGCACTATCCCACCGATGTGTGTGGTCCGCTTTTCGAGGAGGAGCTGGAATTTTGGGGGCTGGACTCGAACCAAGTGGAGCCGTGTTGCTGGATGACGTACACGGCCCACAGAGACACACAGGAGACTTTGTCCATATTGGACAGACTGGATCTGGACACGGACAAGCCGACGGCGGAGGACATTATGAAAAAGTTCGGACTCGAGGACGCTTACAAAGCGGGCGATCTCAACTGCTGGCAGAGAGTGGCACCAAAGATTTATGCCCTGTTTGATGAGCCGTACTCTTCCATGTGGGCAAAGGTAAGACATATGGCACATTGTCACAACTAATGCACTGTCACGCCTAACGCATTGTTACACCTAACACAATGTCACATCTTACACATTGTTTTTCCTATACACATGTACTTTTCTATTACAAGGAAAATTGTCTATGTTATTCCGTCCGTTGAAGGCAAAACAAGTACTTGTCTGGAATTATCTGGTCATACTATATCGAAACAGGGTAACTTGAAACACTAATGTGACAAAAATGTATTTGGCTATGGATGAAATGACCAAGATGTGATACATGTAGCAGGTGGAAATATGCTGGTGTATGAACAATAAGAACAACACTTGCGTATTTGATCTGAACAAAATATGACACGTGTGATACGAGATTGGTTGATTTATACAGCATATGGATTATACAAACACTTGAACCTACTAATGTTTGATTAGTAAGTTGGCTCTTTTGAATCGATACAGCGAATACGGTGATAGCTAGTCTTACATCTGTAATTCTATATGAGAGTTTAATAAACCACCCGTACAAGCACCGTATAAATATGCAACCAAGAGTCTATTATCTCGATTAACAAACCAAAATAACCAAAACTGGAGCTTCACCGAAACATAGCTGGCAAAGTCAAAACGCACTTAACATTTTGCTACATTCAGTATACTATTAGAGTAATTTTGTTTCTTATGAAAATTCAGTGAAAGCAGGTTTTGTGTATTTTAATCGTTTGCGTACCAAATTAAATCTCAGCATGAAGCCAATCTTTTTTGGTATACGAAAGAAACAGGAATACATATTGCAGATTAAAAGACATTGGCAAGCATGATATATATATATATATATATATATATATATATATATATATATATATATATATATATATGGCGCATGTACCAATCCAAATGTCCATATAAAGACGCAACCCTGTGCGTTAAGTACATTTGGAGAGTGTGAGATCGCGTAAGCAGCTTTCCGAAACTTGGAAAATAGACAAGCAACGCTGTTAACTTGGCATATGAAATGGCACGTGCGTTGCGTAACATTTTAAATGTTAAAGGTTTCGCCATTCATATTTGCTGGGTGGTAGGCTGTGGAAGTTGGCTAAAACCAAAAATACAAAATCAAGGCACAAAAGTATTATTACGCACAATTTCTGGGAACAATTTCCACTGCACCATGCCTTTCCTAACATTAAGATCAGCAATTTTTCTCCCTGCTTTTTGCAGAAATTTGAACGAGGCCATTGCAATATACGTGATTTGCAGGCTATCTAAGGACCAAGTGTACATTTGAACTTACAGTTGATCTCTTAGACTAATCAGCAATTATCCGCGATCGCTGTAAATGCTCTCTCTTCACCTGAATGAGATGCACATATGTGAAAAGCGTGCGTGTTGTCAAATAGTCTTGTATTGTCTTGTCTTGTATTATCATGATGAGTGTAGTTCCTGGAATTACGTGAAAATTTCCACGAGGAGAACACATTATCGGGACCTGTGGGCTTGCAGTTATTATTATTTCTTTTTATATAGCAAGACGTTGGAGTTGTTCACGTCTTTCAGAATGCACAGCTCTTGAACATCATTATTAACCAGCAACATTAACTGTAATACCATTACCGATTACCGCCGCGACGCCTTAATATTTTGTCCCCACTCCCCCCTTCTCTCTCTCTCTCTCTCTCTCTCTCTCTCTTAGCGAATGCGTCTTACCCAGCATTAATATTGTACATGCAAGTTGAACCGTGCACTATGTCTTCCTTTAATGGGTCTCACGAGTGCACGAGAACTGCTATCCCCTGATTATCATTACTAGACCCATGGGGGCCGGGGAAGACTTGGCCGCGTAGACTTTCATTGGAACTGGACTAATTATATTACCACGGAGCCCAGGGAAATGAGATATTGCGTCCAAAGGTTCTGCATCGTGTCTCTGTATGATTAAAAGAAAATACGGCTCGATATCCGGACTTTGAGCCGCGATGCTGTCATTATTATGATTATCATACGACAAATAGGTACGGCGGAGAGGGATCCATGCTCTGGTTTGGTGCGTAGGGCCACTGTTTATTAAAATACGTTTGAGATAATACGCTGTCACTTGAACGATACATGCCTACGTTTGAGATAATACGCTGTCACTTGAACGATACATGCCTTCGTCAGCAAGGGGTGTTCAAGTCACATATTACGAGAAGGCTGCAATTGCATATTTTGACTTGCATACCGAGAAAATGTGCTCGAATTTAAACGATTAAGAAATATTGAATAAAAAAGAACAATTTATTCTATGATTAAGCCAAACCAAAGCTATAAGATAGTACCTTTGCCCTAGAGCCGGCCATTATTTTACCTAAATGTGGCATACGTGTTGCATGCCATTTCACTGCAATATAAATAGATGTATGTGCATAGAACAGTGGGTTCCGTCGCCAATTGCTGCATCCCATTGTGTTTCTGAAACATGGCAATGGCACATAAAATTGATTTGGTTATGCCTGGGTATGTAAACATCTCCCATGTCGCTGTAATAATCCAAGTGCCATATTGTAGACAACTCAAAACAAAATCACAATGCGGGCGAATATGATAAGTCGATTATGCATTGCAGCAAAATGGCGACCATTGGTTTCTTTCGAGCATGGCAAACGGATTTGTATACGGAGTCGTCGTTAACGGCTAACCTGCTCACAGCTTGGGTTTAATTTGTCAAATAATTTCATTTTTTTTTTGTCGTTGTTGTTGTTGCAGAATATTCACTTAATAAAATCTTTGTGACAATGACCAATATATAGAAGACACTCTACCGTTTTTAACCGTTAAATATTAAGGGGCTCTGTCTGCCCTGTAGATAGTGATACAGCCTACTCGCAATATATGGTTTTATGTTGAACCATTACTTATATGTAGATATTCTTGCACTACGGATATCATTAAAAAGCCATTAGTGATATGATACGGGAGGAGGTAAAGTTGACATTTGAATAATTTTATTCAATTATTTTTAGGTCGCTGATGAATTGAATGCTATGGGGGCAGTTGGGATTATTAATTGTAATCACGAAGCGGGCGGAGTGGCTTTGAGTTGGGATTTTCAAGTCTATTTTGTATATACACAAGTATTTTAGAATGATTCAATGCCATTGATAATGACTAGGGAAAGAAAGAAAGAAAGAAAGAGAGAAAGAAAGAAAGAAAGCGGCATCATCAATTGCCAAGACATAAAAATCCGACATTTTGTAATATTTTATTTGCCAGTAGTTTTTTAAGTGTTTTACATCACGTCAGACACCACAATGCATGCATATACCGTACCTGTCTGCGTATACTTGAATATGTATTTACGATACATAATTGAACGCCACAAATCATCATAAGCTATTACTCCGATGATATAGAGGGGGCAGACGCGGCGTAATTTACTTCCTGTGGCACTGGCAGTAAATCAAAAGGCTCTGGAAACTGTTCTCTTCTCCAAACTACCGCGGTTCATTGAGAGCCATAGTCTACACAGGTGAATGTGAAACACGACAACAGAATGATAAGTATTTCTCTTCCTCTTTCATCACTCCTTGCGATTGATGAGGTACATGCAGTGCTTTTCGGCTATCAGTTGTACGACTAATTCAAAGAGGGGATGTTTAACTTTGATATCAAAACGTATCGTGTGTTTATAGACGAAGATAGACCCTACTTTGTAAAACACGAAAACACAATGACTAACATTCGAAACGCCCTTCATGTGTAGCTAAAATAACCTCAGTGTTTTCCCAAATAATGAAGTATTATTCGGAATAGCCCTGTCAGTTTTATGCCGGCATAAACCATGCGGTGCGGTTCCTGAATGCCACGTCTCAATTGATTCCTCCCTGACCGTTTTATGTTCAAAATGCATTTTAACAACGTATTTTTGGCCTCTGGTATTAAATGCCTTTCTGTGGTTTGGGGTCTTCCTTGTTTTAATGTGGCAATCGTGGCGCATGTACGGATATGATAAGACTAATAGGTTGCATTATTTTCGCACCATTTTATAAAAAACTCCGATTGCGGCAAAATATATTTATACAAGCAAAAAACCTTCTTATGGAAAGATGCCCCACTCTGCACAGCGATTATCTTAATTTGCTCCAATACACGTCAAACATATTCGTCATATTAGCTCTGTCTGAGTTGAGTTGGAATTTTTTGCATCAACGAAAAGAAAAAAAACAGCTACAGAATGCTCTCCACACGTTGAAATATCAGCCAAAGGCAATTTTCTCAGGTATCAGTTTCCTTCTTGCACCTGTGCGTTCTATTCCTTTTAAATTCAACATCTGCTTCATCGTGATTGTCTGCATTATAAGAAGATCAATTCCGCTTATATCTTATTCTAGATTTATCTCATACGTGTGTGTTTGAACCTTTATTTCTTTTATGTTATACTCAGGTGAAATAGTTCACCTTTACATCGTGTATACTGTAGAAGTATAATATATATATTGGCTCACAAATTAAGTGATACATTAAATGAAGTCCAGTAAAGTTGGGAAAACGTTATGGGTTTGATATTTTCAGTGAAAGGAGGGTTTCGTTCGAGCTTCGGTTGCAAGAGAGAGAGAGAGAGAGAGAGAGAGCACTTGCATTTCAAAAAGAACATTAATCTATGTGTGCGTGTTTGTATAGCTGTTTGCGTTATTTGTATGTGTGTTTGAAGGTGTGTTTAAGTGAGTGTTTGTATGTGTGTGTGTGTTCGTGTTTGTGGGCGATCGTTAGCCTCTCAATCACAAGAAGCACGCATTCTCATTTATTTCAATACAAAAACACCAATCACCCCATAAATATACACACACCAGAAATGTGGCAGTAATTCCACTTTATTGCTTGCAGGCAAAGCAACATTGGCCAAAGGTCCCGGTGCTGAAAGGCCAAACGGTTAACTACTGCATAGTTTACATATGTCAAAGCACAGTATATATACAGTGTATCACGCCGTACAGATGAGTAAATATTTACTGTTCCCAAGCAAGAATTCGATA